CTTACTTTAAATCAAAAATCTTAACCAGTACTAATAAATAGTATAATAACTAATACAATTGTCAACAGTCACTAAAAATTATAATAAATATGTTTATATTTTACTTGTATGTCATTTATTTCCACTTAAACTGCTTGCAGAAGGCGACATGCGCGCACTCCTTGTGCACCGCCATGGGCTGGGTGGTTGTGGGCAGAGTCTCCGCGCCCGGCGCCGCCGTGCTGGTTGTCGTATCGCCTTGAAGTAATTCTATTTTATTCATATCCATGATAGGATAGCACGTACTGCCATATGGTATGTTATTACGCAGTACGAATTTACATTCGTACTGAGCTACGACGTTTGCTGTTACTCCACTTGTGGTCCGTTTTGTAGTAACAGTGGTGCGCCATCTTTTGTTTTTGGCTGTTTGACTCGCCCTAGCATTGCCGCTCGGACTCGTCCTTGCGTTGTAACTACTAGCTCTAAATCTTGGTTTAACAGATTTAGTAGGTCCGTTCCTGTAAATCTGTTCTCTTATCCTTTCAAGATAGCTTTTAGATTTCGTTATCCTTGTTATTGTTCTTGTTGTTGTTATTGTCGGTGTCATAGTTCTCACTGGTCGCATCATGTCATTGAGACTTTTTGTTTTCTCTGTCTGCGTTGTCTTTTTAAAATTGGATAACTCCTTCGTTGGCCGCATCACTAATGCGGTAAAAACTATCTCGAGCAGAAAATTTAATAGAATAAGCTCGAGTTTCATTGCAATCTCTTATTTTGCAAACACTACGATTGATTTTACATTCAATTATTACTGTAACGGTTGTTGAAATCATGATTTTCTTGTTTATGTTCACGGTTTGAGTAACTTTCAATTCAATCTAGTTCTTGGTGAGATAAAAGTCTTAACACAATACTTTTTCAATTTTAAACAATAATTGTACGTCAATGTAATGCAAATTAATACATATATCGTATTAGGTAAACACTCTTTGTATTACAAAGTAATGCGGTTTGTTTTATAATACAATAGACGTCACGTTTTTAAACGCGATTTGATGAGGAATTAGGCAACGTAATAAATTAACCTAAGCAGTGTATCCGTATTAAGTGACCATTGAACATTGTGGACACTGGGTGTAATTCAGTAAAAAGCACATCGTCTAACGCCGGATATTATTTGTTTGCTGTCCGGTTAGCCGTCATTGACAAATACGATATCGTTTACAAAATGGCGGCGAGGGAAATATACAAGTGAATATGAAAGAAAATCATGTACAGAACTATCTGTAATAGTAACAGCTATAATTTTGAGAACGAATAAATGTTAATGGTGTGTAAATGTTGCTAATTAAATAGTTGTGAACGTTTCAATATTCGTATCATATTACATATTTGTTAAAACGATGGATTTATATTCGCTGAAATCAAATAATTTCCGGCTTCATCTGGCATTGTGCGGAGACTCAATACGAGAACGGTCGCTGGGAAATATTGAAAAATCGTGACGTGAATCCTTACAAAATGTAACCAGAGCATAAGCAAGGTCGCTCCCGCAGGAAAAATATGATATTGCTTTTAAATATGAAATATTACGGCGAAAGTGTGCTCGTGTTATGAAGAAAAAGGGTTTACCCATGTCACGCTTACGCCTTGCAGGGCCGGCTCCGGCGCGGAGCAGCGCGCTCCGGACCAGAGAGGGCGCGATGTGTCTTCATTGTGGAAACAATGAATTGGTATTACTTCGCTACGTTACTTCTTTTTATTTTCCCCGTTTTATTTGAATAATACCATATGTCATTTGGTCAATAAACTCTTTAGTATTTGTAGTAATTTGTAGAGATCAAATTACTGTTTGGTTTGCTAAAATTTCTTTAAACGGAAATCAATTATACATTGTTAATAATATTGAAATAATAACAAACATATGTATGTAGTGTATCTATGTAATCAAAACGCAGATTTAATTATTATACTCGTGAGAAAAGTTGTTACCTATTCTAATTTGATTTTCGAATAATTGTTATCACTTAAATGACTCTCACTTAATTGTCAACGATAAATTAACTGCGAAACTTAACAGCGTCTAACCGACCCTTAACTATCGCTGAAGTTAACGACGTTGCTTTTATAATGTGCGACACGACACGACACCTTAACGATATTTTAGTCGGTGCCATCTCCTTGCGATAGGAATATTGTATCAATTAAAATAATTCTGTTTAAAATGTTAATATCCTTTTTTAATTGCATATTTTGTCATTCTTAAACACCATTTTAGTTACTTGAAGTCACATTTTCAACCTTAACTTTTTACAGCCTTTGAAGAAAAAAAATCGATCTCTTTGCTGTCGAAATCTTACAATACAGTAGGTGTTCTAATTTAAAATGTTTACTTATAAACATAATTGTGATGTTTGAGGGATCGTCGGGTATAAAACGTCCCTTCGTGTATATCCCCTCGGTCGTTTGCGGTCCGTGAAATCTGTGAATATCTGCCGACTGAATCAGTTACAAGTCAACATAATTCTGCCGCTCCAGCTCCTCGCACTTAATTAACATTAGTTTTATTTATTACTTACTAATCTACGCGTGGAGCTTAATGATAGTAGTTCAACATAATCAATGGTTATGGAGTCATAGTTAATTGCCTAATTGTATAACTCGTACACCTATCGACGCAAAAACATTCTCATGGTCTTGGGAAATTATCGTAATCCCAGGCAAAAGGAAATAAATTAATTCTAACCTAAAGGGACTTCTTTGGCAGAAGAGACTAGAGCTACCTTATGGATAGGAAATGAAACCGACTTCTATTCGTATTTACTTAAAGTAATAAGTGCAATTTAAAAACTAACCTGTATAATTTTGAACAAGAGAAGCTTGTGGTATTATTTGTAGTGGTGGCTTAGCTGGCGTCGGCTGCGGTGCCTTGTGTCAATTAAAATAGTGCTTGCTGAGACTGGTTGAGACTGGCTGAGATGCGGTTTCCACTAGTGTTACAGCGCGACCTAACGTTCTTACTATATATTGTGGGAAATTGCACGACGTTTATTTAACACGAGTACATAACTAAAGTTTTAATATTGATTGTAAAATCTTATAAGATTCTGTTAAGGAATTAAATTCTGGATTTTGACGACTGCTGGTTTTACGTAATTGGAGAATACTTATTACAAGTTTTTTTAGTCTTCAATAAACAATGATTATGAAGCTCTTATTCCTCGCCCCGGGAGTCATTTCAAGGGACAATATTTATTTTTCTGGGGAGAAGCTGTGACGGTACTCTTTAAAGAAAAATTCGTTAACGCCCGCTCCGGCACTCGGCCTGAATTTCGATTAGAAAAAGACAAAGGGGCGATTGTAAAGAGCCTGGCGAATGCTGGCTGGAAGTGGGAATCAATTAAAAAGAACCATCGATTCTCGTCGAGCGATAGCGTCTGTCAGGAGTAAGTGAAAATGGCTGCCTGATAAGATTGTACGCCGCCGCCGCCGCGGAGCTCCGGACCTATCGCTCTCACTGTGTGCACACTTTTTTAATTATTTCTGCTCTTTGTTACTTTCCTTTAATCTTTGATAAATGGTTCTTAAACTGGTCAAAGAATCTACAATGAAGAATAGATGTGCAGAATGGACTTGATGTAAAACTAAATAAAACACTGTATTTAAATTGTAATCATTAATTGACTGCTATATGACATCATTGATATGTGAAAACAATCATAGCTACAGTGAAAATAATATTTAAAAATATGCTATTTGTATTTAACAATATTACTCTGTGATGTAAAAACTAGTTCTAAAACAATAAATCTGAACAAACGGCAATGAAAGGAAAACTGAAAATATACGAATAAAAAAATCTAGATGTCCTTCAAGAGTTCTTAGAGAATTACACTTATGTAAGAGTTTTTTTTTTCTTATATTTAACTGTCAAGTTGTTAATACTGTTTTTAGTGTTACTTTTTGTCTTTCAATTAATAGTTTTTGATAATAAATGAATATCTAAGTTGTGTGAGGTGGAGGGAGGTGGAGGGAGGTGCATAAATAAAATTCAGGAATGCTGCAATTTTATACTAATTTATTTAATTTTATTTACAATGACAAGATCGCACAATAATCTGTACATTTATAAAGGTAAACATAAATAGCTTAGTTATCTCTTATTTTAATAAAAGATATGTATTTTTACTAACATATTATTCTTGTAACAAATGACGTTATAAGGTAACAGAATGTTTCAATTACCTCGTGCATTGAATTGTTTACAATAATATTTACATTTCATTTAACAAGCGTGAAATTCAAGCCTAGTTAAATTACATTGAAATTACACAAATATTTAACTGAATCCACTAAATATTTTACACAAACAAATATTACAAAACAATTAGAATATTAAACGCAGACGTTAACGTTTTCAATTTTTGGCACATATACAAGGGAAGTTGTAAACTTTATGCAAAGCATTATCGCGAATGAAGCATTAAATATTTAGGGCCTGTCCCACCGCTGACTGATACCTAGATAGCTTAAAAATTACGTTACTGTCAGATAAGGGAACAAAATCCGATATTTCCATCTCATATTTTACACGGTGGATTGTTATCAGATAATTTACAATTTGGTGAGACAGGTTCTAAGTATTAGTAAGATGTAGTGTGACGTCACGGAGTCAGAGCCACGTCGGCTTTAACTAGCGTAACATATGATATTACAATGTTATCTAAGACTATTGCAATCTACATGCAGACCAAAACATACTCTAATTCATCTCATTCAATTTCATAAATAAATTTTTACAAATGTAATAATTTGTCATGTTTAATTTACTCTAAGATTTAAACGAAGCCAAAGTTCAAACTGTTTTATAATCTAAAAATCGTTTTAAATGTTTCTTAGAAACTCATTAATTTATCTTACTTTTGAATATGGCAATAACATTTCATTATGATATGTATTTATCAAATATTGTTTCGATTCAACACAATAAAAATATGGTTAATACTATTTTCAAATAAAATATTTCTTTATTACAAATTAGTTCATCTAACTAAACGTCATTTACCTTACAGAAATCAGACTAGAAAATCGATTTGTACCAACAGTATTACAAAGAAATATGTTTGTCGCCAGCAGCGGCGGTCGCCAGTTCCTAAAACAATAACAACAAAACACATTAACTCGCAAATTCTTAAAAATAACGTTAGAAAAAGACTTAATTATTTAAATTAACAGTTGTGCGGCTCATATTGTTAAATGAAGCAAGAGGGAACAAACTCATTCTTTAAAAAAATACGAAAAATGCTGGCAAAAAAACTCGCAAGCTTAATGGGTAAACGCAAATAAAAAATGAGGAAAATAACAGAATTAACTATGCTGTACGTTACGAATGAGTTATGTCATTCTTTATAAAATAATGTTGCGCAAAACACACGATATATTTCGGTTTTATGAGAGAAAGCTGCGGTATTAACTTATGTTATGACGACATCGATCTATAAAGTTATAATTATTGTTTTTTAGCTAAATCAACGTGATAAAGGCTAGATAGATAGGCATTGTTTTAGAAAGAATTAACTAATCGTCAATTTTATATTAAGATTAAGCAAATAGTTTGTCGGATGATACTAAAGTATTTTGCCGTAAAACTTTGATAAACGCTAATGCTTGACTATGTATAAAATATTCGGCAGATTTTTCGATTCACCGAAATTCTAATCGATTTCACGGTGTTTGATTTTTATGAAATGATGCCGCTGTTCAAATATTTTCGCCGCCAGCTTGAGAACTGTAAGAATTGATTGTGCGCGGTCTGTTTTCAATATTTATGAGATGTAAGTGTGTACTCCTTGTGTGCGAACTCCTTGAATGTTTAATCTATATCCGTATGTACGCGGAGAGCGAGCCGCCCGCTCTGCACATGTCACTACAAATAATGGAACTTCCAGTCAATTATTTCAGCTACACACAAATAATATAGCTAAGTGTCTTGAATGCATATTTGTAAAATAACAAAAAAACCATCGCCAAATACAGCAAAGTACTATTTTTTTTAGAAAATTTTAAAATTAACGAATACTAATTGTCGGACAAGTTACTTTAAATTTCAAACCGTTATTCGTATAAAGATTCGTAAAAACAATTTGTCACAATCCAGTTGAATTGTTATTCATAAAAAAGCGCAAACCAAGATTTACATATAAAACAAAAGATGTCGCTTCCAGAAAAGTGTTAGAAGACTCTCAATCCATTTGTGCAAGCTCCCTACATATATTTTTAAACACGCGAACGAAGAGACAGCGTTAATAATGTAGTATTCCGTTACAAACACCGCAGAGCGGTGAGTTTTCACTGCTTTTTGTTATTCCTTACAATTCCAAATGGACTTTTTTAACATAAATCTTTACTAAGTATAATTTATTTCTATTACATTTATATCAGCGAGTGATTTAAGAATTTGGTGTGAACAAGACTGAGAAACTAGCCATTAAACAATTTACTAGAATCGATTATAAACAATCTCAGATTGACAATTCTTTAACATTATAAGGAATTTTAATTTAAATAATTGTCTATAATTTTTGGAAGAGTTTTCCTGCAACATGATTAAAAAACCGTATGCGGTTTGGATTCAACTTTTGAGGTTTAACAGGGTCGGACTAGAGTTTAGTCAATTAGGGAGTGCAGAGGCATATTGTGGCATAGTGGGGCATCTTGTGGCATGTTTTGGCACAGTAGCACTGTGGCACAGTGGCGGCGGTACCTGAGGCGAGGTGCGGGTGCGGCGCGCGGTAGACGTTGTGCGCGTCCCGCTCGGGCGCGCGGTCGAGCTGCGCGCGCACCACGCTCGGCCGCTCCGTGGCATCGCGCTCGTGCTCGCGCACATGCTCGCGCACGTGCTCGCGCTCGCGCTCGCGGCTAACGTTCGCCCGGCGCGCGCCTGCAACGCGGATACCGTCAGACACATGCTTGCTTTACATTGATCTTTTTTGGACAATGACAATCGCAAGCTTACACATTTTTTGTTTAATAAAGATGCTTAAGTAAAAAGCTGTACATTGATCTTTATACAACCTATATATTATTGGTTTTTTGAAATTATAGCAAAAGGAACTATCCAATTTACAATAAAGAAATTGGAACGAGAAGGATTGAACCTTAATTATAGAAAACGAATGAATTTAAACTTAATTGACTGATATAAATGGAAAAATAAGTATCTTTTATGAAATTGTAATTTGTTAAATATTTCAAATTAAATATGTTAAACGTTAGGAACGGAACATGTCGACGAGTATTGGAAGCTAAGTCACTCCGAAGTAATTAGAAACAAGTTAAACTAGTTAAGTGTTTTGCGACAGGACGACGATCGACCTTACACGAATATAACTTTACAACGACGAAAACAAAAACATAATTAAAATTTGCATTACATTTTGTACGACAGAAAGGCAAGGGTCGTAGCTTAGTGTTGAATAGTCTCTACCCCATGAACGTTAAAATTGGGCTGTCAAGTGCAAGTATATTTTTGCAAACCCCATTGGAAGATTTTGAAATAAACAAGTCCAAAAAAAAAACTTTAGCTATATCAGAGTAGATAGAGAATTTATGGGAGTGTTTTGGCATATTGCAGTTGATATCTTGATAAATTTGCGTTGCATTTGCGATAGCCAATAGCTATAGCAAGAGGTATTTAAAAGTGCAAATTATATTGACATTTAGTAGCAAGTTTACTAATGTTATTGAACCGGTTTCGTCCATTTGGAACGTTGCCCAAAGACGTAGAAAATCTGTACGGAGGAGGTACAAAATCGTTGCTAGTGTTTTCCAAACACATTTCCTTATTATCTTGTAAAACTTTTATAAAATTTCTACACGGGGACATTCTATACCATAAATTTAAACTATTACGTGCGCATATTAAAACATGTTTTTTAATATAACCTAATGCTGATCTTTAACTAAAAGTGAGTTTTAATTATTAAATTCTGTCAGTTTTGGTATCTTTGTATAAAATCTAATGAAAGTAAGCCAAATCATTGATGTTAAAATAAGAATAAATCTAATGCAAGAATTAAAATAATTTTAACTTAAAGTTAGTATGGTAAATCATGGAGAAATCAGTAAAAATATATGAAAATATATCAATGCATCCTTACTCTCTTTGTTAGCGGTGCTCTTCATTTCTGTCGCTTTTGGAGACGTCGACGGCATCGGGATTTCTATTTACAAAAAATTTTTTATGAAGATTCTTTTAGTGCTTTAAACAAAAGATAGTGGAATTTCTGAACCAACGTAGGCAAGGAGCGGTTAAGAAAAAATCAGCCAAAATTAATACAATTTTGTACTCCTTTTAACGAATGGCCACTGCGTTGAGAACGTATAATTCATACGAGGGTTTTTTTTTTAATAAAAATACGATGTAGATATCTGAGCACGTACCATACAATCTAATAGATCCTTCAGTTTCTCCGAGAGAGTTTTTCGAAATGCAGCGATAGTTCCCGAAGTCTCCGGTCTGAAGATTCCGTACAGTCAGCTTCATGTGAGCCCTACAAATACAAACACACATTAAGTAATCTTACTAATACTATAAATGCGTTAGTTTAGATGGATGGATGTTTGTTAGAGTTTGTAGCCTAAACTGCTGAACGGATCTTGATGAAATTTAGCATAGAGATAGAGGATAGTCTGGAAGAACACGTAGCTACTTACTTATCTTTATTTTATTCCATGCAGAGCCGGGGGCGAAAGCTAGTTATATCATAATGACAAAGTATTAAAATAAAATAAACAATATAAAACTGTTTACAACAAACCAATTTAATTTCTTTAAATACATTATATCGGAAAAGGCCGGGAAACGAAAATTAATTTTTGAATTATTCGAGAAATAAATTCAATTGTTGGTCAGTGCGGTGTGGTGACGTCACTCGGGACAACAAACTGTTATGACGTATTGTATTAGCTCAAACTGAGGTATTTTCCCTATTTAATATACGTTGAAAATTTACAAAGTTCCACTAATATTGGAATTTCAGAAACAATATTATTATAAATTTATATTGGAATTTAATTTTGGAATTAAATAGATTTTCAAAAGTCCATCAATGTTTTCAGATTTTGTAACTAAACTTTTAAAAGATAATATAACTTTTAAATACAATCAAGTTGAACTTCCAAATAAATCAGTCAGTTCGGTAAAAACGATTTTCACTTTTAGCAAAGGTGCTTTTTCATTTAGATTTATAGGTCCGCGAGCTTTCAACCTGCTCTCTAATTATATAATTTTCCTCAGACAGATTTATTGTGGCAGCGTTATTCAATTTAACGTTTCACGTAAAGTTTCCTTTTCAGGAGTGTTATTTCAATTTACGTAAATACATTTTAAAAATCGCATTTCTGTTGAGCCCTACATTCATATTACATGGGACATTTATATGAACCACTTATTTACTCTCTGATATCTGTTCTCTAATTTGAGATTATTAATCTTGTCAAAATTTTCTAGTCTATATTGTATTTTAAAATTAGGCTTAAATATAGTGATATATACTGTCAATTTATGATTTAACTTTAAATATAATCTACTATAATATTATTATAAAAATGCGAAAGTTTAGATGGCTGGATGGATGTTTGTTAGAGTTTGTAGTCTAAACTGCTGAACGGATTTAGATGAAATTTGATATGGATGCAGAGGATAGTCTGGAAGAACACATAGGCTACTCACTTTTGTTTTTCTTTAATGCCACGCGGACGGAGTCGCGGGCGAAAGCTAGTAAAGAAATAAAGATATACCCGCTCCCCAGGTGATAACTTAAAAATGTGTCGGGGGAACGAGAGGGCGTCATAGAGCCACCCATTACAAAAAGGATCTTAGATGATTGCATCGTGTAGTGACCTGTAGGAGTTCTCGTCGGTGGTGACGGCGTACTTCTTGGTGGGCAGCACCATGACGTTGTCGTAGACCCAGTAGGAGATGGCGCGCGGGTGCGCCTCCGTGTGGCAGTCCACGGTGACGTCGGTGCCGGCCGGCGCGCCCACCAGCTGGTTCGGCACCCAGATCATTGGAGAAACTACAACACCTCCTACCGCTTTAACACCTGACTGAAGTAGGGGACGCCGGCCTGGTTGGCCACGGGGGCAGGTAGACTAATCAGCTTTACCTACTTATGGGTTGACCATACCCCTGCTATGGGGTAGGTTGACAAAGCGTCAGAAATTTAGAAATTCACTCAAGTATTAAAATGATATAGGTTGCATAATAGTTTTTCAGGTAGCTGGATAGTTCTTCTATATATTTGTTCATCAGAGATACAGGGGCTTCAGTGATACCTTAGTCAATTATTCCGGTCTCTCCTACACAGCATAAATGAAAGTTGTTACTCGTTTTCAATATTTGCACTTTTCAACTTTAGTTGGTGTTTAAAGTTAGCCGGTTAATCTTAGTTATTTAAAGTTTTGTGAGGCGATTATTTTCGTATCAATCTACAGCGAGGGGACAGGGCGGGGGCGCAGGCGGGGTGAGGCTGCAACTATAGCGAAGTGGGAAGCAATTTATAAACTTTCAATTATGATGGATAGTGGCGAAGTTTGCCGAGCGCGGCCGAGCGCGGCCGAGCGTTGGCAATTTTTCACATAACGTTCAGATAATAAAATCCACGCTTTGAGAACGTAATTCACATTCCGCCAGTTTATGGCGGCAATTTTCACGAAGAATATTACTCCTACTGCGTGATACGCCTTAATATTCTACGACGCTTTAAAATATTTATAAAGTTCTACGTTTTTTATTCGCTTATCACGAATGGCTTCATTATAACGAGCTGCTTAACGTAAGAAATTCTTAACTGCCATATATTTTATTGTTCGAATGCAATCAACACGTTCAGTATTATTCCCCGAGGCGGGCGTTGACGTTATTTTATTATGGACTGTTAAATTATTATTGTGTATTGTTTCGCGTTCCTGTAAATCTTATGCGATAATATAAGAACTTGACTTAGGTTGTTAACGAGACATTAAATATTTTAATGACACTTTACGAAACAGTAAAAGCTTGTTAATATAAAAATACTCATAATGTTAAACTGTTTCTTTGAATCGGAAAGTTTTCTTTTTTACTACTTAAAATGAATTGAAAGAGATATTTGACGGGATGATTTCTAAACAGAATGGCCGGGCATCAGCGAGGCGAGGAGAAACAACGCACGGCGCAGGAAACTAATAATGTGTGTGTTTATGCAGAGGTGTTAGATTAAAATGCAAATCCACGTGACCTAGTTGGGAAGTGCACAAAATTCCCAGTACGTAAATGAAAATTGTGCTTCATGAGATCCAATATCACAATGAGGTAGATAACGGTTTATTTACGCTGCAGTATACCGTAGTTGTCTACTGATATTTTTAATTGATTTTCATATCTACCCTATTAAAATATAATCATCTTTTCAAAGATAACGTTATCACCTGATTTCCTGGTAAAACATGATAAAGGCAGGACTATGAGTTCTTAAAATCCAGTCAACTTAAAAACTGTATTTCGATACTCGACGATATCTGTCGTTATCCATACCACACTATATAGATTTTAGTATGACCATTTGTTTCACAAGCATATTATAAAGTAACAATTTAAATGGAATCGAAACATTATTTACGTTTAAAAATGTCGTGACCGCTGGCCATTCGTTTACCTGACACCGAAGCGAACGTCACATGTAAAATTAATAGAGCTCCATTTATTGCGTTTCAAGTTTAAAATGTATTTAAATTAGTATTATTTATATTGTAAATACTGTTAAATAAAAGATGATATTAAAAAATACAAGAAGCTATCAATTCATGTCTGCAAGAGCTATCATTGTGGAGGCGTGCACCTTGCTAAAATATTATCTTTCAATTATCACAGGGCGGCCATCTTCCTTTCTATTTAGTCAGCCGCGCGACGTTATAAGAATTGAAAATAAAGGGGGAAGTTCATTTTTTCACAAAAAAACCCTCGCTTTGTTACGTCTCAAAGTCCCGTATTAATTTTTGATACAACGACGTTCCTATAATTCCCCGCGTTATCTCTAAATTATTTATGGGGAGGGTTTTAGTTTCTTTTAGGTCGCGATCTCAAATTAGGTATGCGGACAGTTATGCAATTAGCGTCTAGACGTTTTAGTTCTTATTTTCGTTTTAAGATTAATTAAAATGTAATGAAATTATTCAACCGTTAAAGATTTACGGTCTCTACACTATTTATTATATTTCTTATAAATAGCACTATCGGCTCAGAGTCGTTTCACGTTTCCTAACTTCTTTTGTTATTAAGAATATGTATATCTTTCTTGCACACTAACTAAGCCGAGGACTTTCATTACAAAATAATACATTCATGTTTAGTGTGAAACAATAAAATTAACAGATATTTAGTAGATTTAAATAATGAAATTAAAAAAAATCCTCTGTATGAAAATTTATTTATGTGTGTGAGTGATTACTTGGTAACATAATGAAATGAATTTGGAACCTCACATTCAACGTCTACGATGATCCTCTTGGAGACGGAAGGCGGCACCGCATTGGTGGCGATGCACAGGTACGCGCCCATCTCCGTGCGGCTGATGCGCTGCAGGCTCAGGCTGGCGCCCTCGTACACCGTCACTGCACAAACACGCAATGTACACTCAACTATATATACTAGTATAAATTCGCAACAGTTAGAGAAACCTAGGTTGTATTAATAGAGACACGATACTAGAAATATTTCCTGATGATAGTGCTAGTATGAGAATATACGGCTGCATTAATGTTTATTGATAATTTTAGTCTATTTCAACTGCACATTGCTATTTTCAACAATATACATTATATTTGCAAATAGACGTTGAAAAACAAACATTTTAATATCACAGTTTGTTAAACTTTAACCATTTTCAGTTGCGAAAATGTTAGTCGTGGGAGATATTCAGGTTAGCTGTAATTGTTATTAGTTTTTAAACCAGTGCAATTTAGTTCATACGGCAGATATTTATTTATTGTTGTTTATTGAATATGGTTTATTGCTTTGTAGCTTATCACAAAACAAGCTACAAGACAAAAATCTGTGTAGTTTAAAAGTGAAACTAAGTAGGCTACTGAAGTTTTATAAGTGATGCATTAGAAGTTTTATATCATTGTTTACTTTTATTTTGACTTCAGTGTAGTAATGAAATAACAGTTTTGCTTTGAATTTGTGTGAAATTAACATGAAACGAAATATGTTTTCACGCCGCTGAGTCGAAAATGATTTCACTTTAAATAGCTAAATATAATTTATAGTGAAAAGAGTTAACAAATTCAGTTAAATCTGCATATCACGAATGAAAGCAGAACAATTGTTTGTTGAAAACAAAAATTACCCGGTAATTGGTTTTTTAAAAAAATCACATTGTCACAAAAACAATTACGTTGTTTTTTCTTATTGAAAATATTGACATAAAACTAGTTACGTTAATTATTTTAATGGCTTTATTTTGTCCAAATTAGCAGCATTTTTATTATATTTCGATATGATTTCTTCAAAGTGACAGCAAAATAAAACTTTAAATGACAACAAATTGCTCGCAGGTCAACTTGGATCTCTTTGGGGAACTTTGAACAGCTGCAAGTGTTGTGTTCACGACGGCGGCGGCGGCACTTTTTTAACTTTTCTTTTGTCGCCAACTTAACTTTTCACTGAGTGTCAACAACTGAAAAAAGGGTAGTCTAATTTGATCTATGTTCGCACTTTAATACTTGGTAAAATTATTGACTCGTGCCTTTATTTTGTCGTTAATAAATAAATATTAAAACATATTTAATGATTTTTATTTGAAATCCCTCAAAGCTTCATTAACTTTGAACGGATTAAGCTATAGCTATCCATTACTCGATTTTAAATTACCATAAATTAACTCTTGGGTTCCCCAGAAAGGGGAACTGTTATAAAATATAAAACATTAAATTGTGTTTACTCTAACCAACCGTAACAATGCAATATTGTGTAAAGGGCTTTGTCAAAAATTAGAGAAAAGATGTTAATTCCCGGGGCTGGAGGCGACCCTCATAACTCTCAAATTTATTAGTATTCTCGCCGCATGTCGTACAATTTAAGTTAAAAGTCGTAAAAAGTATAAATTCGTGGCACGTCCAGCGCGGGTCGCCGCCAGCGCCATCAAGTGGCCAAATGAGTTTGCCTGTGTTTACAATTACGGAACGTTCCGGGACCGCAAGAGCACAATGAATATAATGAGGGAACTCCGCCCCTCGAATATATTTAGCAATTACCGCGACTAACGACCGCCCGCTGTACTTGTAGTTAGCGATGCATTCCGCGCGTTAATTGTAACAAAAAAACAAGCATTCGACTGCGGCTCGAGTGGACAAGTTTTGTAAAAAGAGCGGTGCCAAAAGTAACCGAGTGTACCTGATGTCAAGTGACGATGAAACATTTTAACAAACAGTGTTGCGGTAACATTTGCATTTGGTTTATATATGAAACCAGTTAAAGCTATAGATCATAATAAAGAAAAAGCGCCTAGAGTTTTGTCACTATAATATATATCGTAACTGTAATTAAATTCACTAGATTTTATAGAAAAGTGTTACTTTCGCTAAGTTGGGTGTGCGCCGCAGCCGCTGGCGGCGCGGTTTGCGGATGTTCCGACTCACTGACTGCACAATAATATATCATTTACGTACTAAATAAAGTACATATCAAATACGATATTTCCATTGAATTAAGTTTACTGTAATTATTTCAATTTGTTGTTTTTTTTATATTAATTTAACAATAACACGTTTAAAACGTAGCAGAGGAGATCTAATCCAATGGAAAACAAAGACAACCTTATAAATAATCATATAAGTCCAAACAAACATATAAAATTACTCTGTTTAAAGGCCGAAATCTCTCACCCTTACCGCTGTAGGGCGGGCTGCGTGCCCCGCATTAAGGGCGCAAATAAAAAGCGTTTCGGCATTCTATTAATTCAAACAAAGGGCTCAACACGCGTCGGATTGAAAGCGAGAACAGTTTTCGACTCGGCGCGTAATTAAAACATTGACGATGGACGTCCTTTGCAAATAATAACCGCGGCCGGCTGTGACATGTCCGCGACGCCCGGCCCCAGGACCCGGCCCCTGCAGCACCGGGTCACACACAATTAGCGTCGAGAGCTTATCTCAACCACGCGTTTGTTCCGACCGCTCAACGGAATCACTCTTCAAATTATACTCAATTTTTGGGACGTTTCGAGTGGCTGCTCCGATGGATTAATTTACTCGCCGTCACTCAGCACTCAGCATTCTCCTGCTATAATTATCTTTACGCTCGCTTAACCGGCTTGTTCTAAAGCGTTGCACAGCGCCCGGTCTAGCGGCAGTGCAGAGCGTCGCGCTTTATTGCAGTCCATATCAACATGAGCTCGGAACTAACGCAAAGTTTTTACATTAGCGCTCCGCCGCCGCCGCGGGGGCAATTGAGCGTTTAAATGAGCTCATTTTAAAACTACTTTACTCTAGAAAAGAAGACTTCAATTCGTACCACTTAGCGATGATAATAATACTTAATTCTTATTTTAATATTATTAATGTTTATTCATTTAGCTTTAGCTCCCGAGTCTGTCTGCGTGTAATTAAAAAGAAACAAAAGCCTATATGTACTTCCATACTATCCACTACATCTATGTAAAATTTCATCGAGATCCGTTCTGCAGTTTATGCTACAAACAATAACAAACATCCATCCAAACTTTCACATTTATATTTTTAGTACGATTCCCATTTTGGGAAGTCCCCTGGAGAAGTCATATCTGTTACCTTTCTTTCTCCTGTCGACAGAGATGGGCTGTCCGTCCTCTCGACGCCACATGATCTTGGGCGTGGGGAAGCCGTCCGCCTTGCACACCAGGCTGATGTTCTGGTTCTCGCGCACCGCTACCGCAGACTGCGTGCTCTCCTCGTCCAGAATGTTCGGTGGCACTGGAGGAAATCACTAATTAGTACATAACCATACGTTATGTATAATTCTACTTTCGAATTAGTGTAGAACATCACCGTTTCTGTGTGTGATACGTGTGTGTCAATGGTATGACATTTCGTGACACAAATCTATGGAATTAAAAGTCCTTATTCAACGGAAAAGTAGCTCCATAACTCTTTCGTAGTTATCGTGAACGCGAGGTGTTTGATTGAAAATAAAAATGAAAAAATCAAAGCTAAAACGGTAAATTTAAAGTGAGCGCTTGCCGCTCGACTCCGTAATCAATCAAATGGATATAAAAACATCTGCAACGTGAGAAGGTTCAAAGGCGAAACGCAAAAAAAGCTTCATTTTATTTCCACTTAAAAGTTTGCGTCGAACTGCGGTCGTATAAAGTACTAAGTGCGAGCCCGAATCGCCGCCGAGGGAGCCGACACGCGGCCGCAGTATCCGCGACAAGTCAGCTGCGACTCGTATGAATCTAAACGAAAGCATTAGAGGTAACTTCGCCGTACTTCATTCAAAAAAAACGTCAATCTTTTATATTGCAATTCTTTTGAACACTACTTTTTTTTCGTAATTATCTAAGAAAGTGTTTTAAATAAGTTTCAGTCTACGTAATTTTAATAATTAAAGAGGTATTTAAGCATTGTTAATCGAAATAATTGTTACTTTTATAAATTAAACTTGGGAAAGATATTATTAAAAATTCCTCCAACATGACACAAGCTATTAAGAGAGAGCAAATGAAAGTAAATTATTGAGATCGGTGGAATATCAAAGGCGAGTAATTAAAAGTTTTTAACCCTGTTGTGCCGCGCACCGCGCACCGCGCACCGCGCATTCTATTCTACGGAGTTATTAAGATTCCATTATCGAATATTTTTCTTAAATTCTTAGAGTAAGTTTTATCTCTTTTGCTTCAAAATATTCTTAATTTCTAAGAAAAATCGTTAATTTCTCTAATAAGTTATCTTTATTTTTTAGTAAAAAACTGAAATTAAGGATTTCTACCTGATATTTTACCTATTTTATTTATTTTTTCTACCTTATTTTCGATAACATGATTTGATTCAATGTTTAAAAGATGATTGTATTTCGTTTTATTCCAACAAATTAATACAAAGAGATAATTTTCTCATAAATTGATGGTCACCCTACACTGAAATGTTGGACCGCAATAAATGCATTTATTCATGAGTCTTAAAGCGCTCTGCACGATACAGTCTATTGTACAATATCTTTGTGTGTATCTTAGTTATCGATACCCCTAGCTTAAACTGGACAAAACAAACACGTATCGTAATTATTCTATTTATTAAACAAAACAATATCCATCTCAATTGAAATAATAATAACTAACTTCGAACTATAGATTCCACTATATACGCTCAGTTTTAACTAAACATTCGAACTAATAGAACTTAGCGTATGTAAAAACAACAAAACTATTACAAAATATCATAAAAAAATTAAAAATCCTTATAAGTGACTTACCAACAACTTGTAGATATCCGACTTGACTAATCATGGGGTTGGTGTTGACCTGACACATGTAATAACCGCGGTCCTCCTGCTGCACTTGACTGACGTGCAGTAACCACGTCATCGCGTTGTCGTGGGACACGCTGAACCTCGCCAGTCGCGTTATCACGTGCCGGTGGATCGTCAGGATCATCTGACGGTCGATATGGATCCACGCCACCTAATACAGAAAAATTTATACTAATATTATAGAGAAATTTGACTTTTCTAAATAGTGTCTGAAACAATTGGAATGATTTCAAACATTCTTAAGAATGGTACATTATCATTTAGTAATATAGATCTTATAAAACGAGACATCAACGGAAAAGGTACAGATATGGTAGAAAATATGAGTCGTATATCCTGTGCCAGCCAGGTTAAAGATGGGGCGTATAGATATTAAGATAAATTACTATACCATAGTCCTCACTTGAATGGTTAAGAGAAAATAAATTTCCGTTTGACGCGACCTTGGCACAACTAGAACTTTCTCTACCACACTCACAATATTTATTAGTAAAGGTTATTTTTAATAACCAGTTAATTATTAATTTACCTATTATTAATAAGGCCAATTAGTCCACGAATTCATAAAAAATAAATTAACAATTAAATTTTAATTATCGTTGTAATAAAGTGATTGGTACATGCCCGTCAACTGAATAGCTCTTTATGTAAGCATTTACAATAATATCTTCGTTCATTAATAAATCAGCAAATTGTAATAAAACATTCATCGTCGTGGAAGCTGCCGACGTTACTTTAGCAACGCAAACATTTACCAACTCGTAACACTAATATTGCTTCCAATTTAGGTTATTCAGGGGAATGAGCTAACCTTCAATATAAATTTGGTTCTAACTCTATCGGAAATTGAATTCCAACCACATACTCCGCTATCCCATTATGTGCCGGTTTACTTTCTCTTATTGATTTTGCTGGAATTGAATTTTCTATTCTTTAAACGTTATTTACAATTTCCTCTGAACGTGTTCAGTTTATTGCATTTTGTGTTGTATTTATTAAATAAAGCGAGTGTGAACTCGGCACAACAAACATATTTCCACTAGTATTGTTATGAGAAAATATGCTCCTTATGGTTTTTTTAATTCAACGATCTAGACATAGGAATGGTTCAAGTTAGTTAACTACACAAGAATCCTGTAAGAAACAACCAAAAGAAAATCTCGACGAACAAGCAAGTACCATCTTTCATCAAGAAATGACTAAAGTGTGTTAATAAGTTACAAAACTTCGCTAGCAGCAGTTTCTTCTAATTATATTATGCGGCTCCTGTTATAATAGAGTTTAAGTTGACTGATATTAATTCTAGTTCAAATGTTGTGCAAACGATACGAGCGTAACTCGTAATCTCGAAACCGAAAGACAAACAAATGTACATTAAGCTCCAAAACTAGCTGAAACTCAACCGAACCACGCATCGTTGTTTACTTTGACAAAGTCACAGCCGCGTTAAATTTACCCGGGGAGACCGCAGACGTGCGACCGTATCGCAGTGCCGCACTGCGCACTAGTCAATACGATGCATATTTTATGAGAGTTCTCAACTTGACTCCGTACCATCTACTTTTGTTACGATATCCATGAATCTGTGGGATTATCGAGCGCTTGTGTCGCTTGTGTCGCTTGCGGATTGCCGGCAGTGCACGCCACTGGCAGTAACCTGCACACGTAAACATTTGCGGCATCTAGTATTTTGGTTAGTCCACCTGGCCTATTGAATGTCTTTAGTATTTAGTCTTTTCCACTGTTGCGGATTTTTTGACCGAAGAAACAATTTGAATTTTTTACATTTCGAGAAACGATTACGATTGTCACTTTTAATATGTTTTTTCGTTGTTATCACTTGCCCACTATTATTTCTTAATTTTTGTTAAACAAATAAACTTCGCTTTATTGTATATTTTTCGTAAATAAAACTTTTAATTGCAAATGTTATTTAAATCAAATGTGTTAATTCAAATAGCAAAATGACTTTCACATTTATATCAACAATCACACTTCTGTGATGCTATTGGCTTGTAGTTTTGTCTTATTCTCGCATAACGATTTTTTCCTATTTAATTCCATAATTTCCAAGTAATTTGTACAAAGATAATATCCCGGAGTGGTTTTAAATTATGTCACATAATTAACAGCGGAACATTTGAGTCTGGAGGTACAGAGGTACAGTGTAAAGGTGCTCGGAACTTTATTAAGGTCCGGAACTTCGGGAGATGAATCATGACGAAGTGAATTTCCTAAAGCCATTAATAGCACTGTCTTCCACGATCACCGATCTATTACAATAAATTTATTTTACTAATAGAATTTTATTCATATACTTTTCAATAATTTATAGTAATGTTATAAAGAGGAAAAATTTTATTTTTGTATGTATTGAAATAACTCTAAAACTACTGGGCCGATTTTTAAAATTCTATCAACGTTAGAAAGGTAATTTATCTGTGAGTAATATAGGCTAAGTTTTTTTTATTTTTAATTTCATATGGGCGAAGTCGCGAGCAACAGCTATTGATAAAATAATTATAAAATGGAAAGTACACATTTATACAAGATATTAACGTTTTACCTCCGCAAATATTATGCTTACTTATGTTTTCTAAATAACTGGAATATTTAATACTAAATTGTTATTTGTATCTGATTGGTAGTTCCTAAAAGTAGTTCGTCTGAACAAACAAAAACTCTGAATTTGTATAAACATTTTAACAGTGGTAGAGCCCGCTTTAACACCTTCGCACGATTTGGCTGCCTCGCTCGGTGTAATACCACGACTATACAGAAAACAGGCGTGAAGTGGAAGCAATTCCGCGTTTCGTCTGATGAGTGTGGTGCCGGAGGCCTAATTTTTGTCTCTTTCCCTTTCCACCCTTTTCCTAAGAGCAAAGGATGGTGAGGAAAAGTGGATTTGACGGTGGAGGAGACGCATAGGAAGGGAAAATATCCTCTTTATGTGCGTCTCCTCCTCCGCCGATTAAGGGTAGGCAACGCATCTGCAATTGCAGATATTTTTGGGCAGCTGTCGTTTTCCATATCAGTGGATTTAGGTGGTCGCTTGCTCGTTAGCCACCTTATATTATAAAAAAAACAAACGAAATTAGTCTGAAAAAGTTTTCACCATAATCAACATTGAATATAAATATTACTGACATAAATAAAAGCAAATGCATTATCAAAATAAAACTCATAAAAAGTTATTTTATGCTAAAAGAATAAAGATGTCGTACAATATGCAGTTAATGTACCACAGAGCGTGAATGTGATGTTCTCATTTGGAAATGCACGAATTCAGCGTTGGCTCTTTAACCAAACATCGTCGGGCCGAGCACTGCACTGCACATTGCACGCTGAATCCTGCACACTGCACGCTGTCCCTGCCCCCGGCGTTTGCAGTAATTGCTTTACGCTCCGCAACTTAAGCGTGCATGGAAAATATTACATCGCAAACCTAGGCGTACAAATGTTTTAATGTAACAAGGTTCCAAATTGGAGCGGGTTTATTCATACACTTTAGGCACAACTAAATAGTAATCATAGCAATGCGGACGGAATTTCTGGCTCGATCATATTTGGATACACAATAGTAGTTAGTAAATTTTTGTTCAGAATAGAATTTATGTACGAACGCATATCTTACGGTAATAATCTCTCAGTTTCCTGCAAACTGCACCGACATTATAATTTATGTCAATGTCTTCAATGGCACGACTTTTAAATAATATGTAGACGAGGCATAGTGAAAATTTTTTTATCACTGGTTCTTTCTTTGAAAGGCACCATATCAGTTGTCAAGTTTAGTGCTACCTCGTGTCCTTGCATGGCATATGTAATAAAATATTTTACAACACTATACTAAGCTCAATATTTTGTTATAAAATAAAAACCTATTGGCCATAAATCTAAGTACATCTAATTATATTAACCTCCGGTTTTGAGGATTGAATACGTGAAAAATGATTTATTTGAGGTGTCCACTATGCCTCCTCTATATATTTGAATCTCTTTGGAATGACAATCTCAATGCTATGAAGCGCTAGACGGGGGTTAACCTTGTTAGACTTTGTTGGCTTTTTAATAAAGCCGACTTCACTTGTTACTCCTTGACATTTTATCTTCTCCTAATGCGTCACTGTCTGTCGTAAATTGCAGCCATTACTATAGCCCGGGCCGCAACGCTCGACAGCGCGCGAACATGTTTTAAACTGGTTGAAACCGTAGCTTTTAGTCCCTTGTTAACAATATCCAAATCTGTAATTCTAATGTATTTTTGTCATTAAAAAAACATTTCTTTATTCTAGTTAGTTATATTATTTATGTTGGACAAAATGTCACTCAATAAGAAGGCACGTTTTATAAATAACAATTCCAAGTGGAAAAAGAAACCGCTTACAAAGTTTCCTATCGAAATCCCATACTTAATCAGTTCGCAAATGTTACGTGAACAAACAGAGTGGGAACGGCAAAGTCTCCGCAAACTCGGCTCGCGCGGAGTCACAAAGCCACGGTAAGCCTCTTCGCCCCCCTTTTTATTCCCCACCACATACTTAACGGCAATTCAAAGTGAGCCGCGCGTTATCTCGCGTATTGGCAACTTTGCTACGCGCTGTTTAGTGATGCGGGGTCTTGTAACTTCGTTCTTGCCACTTACAATTTTATCATATTCCACCTTTCGCAAACATAACGCATAATGTATTACTTTTAGAAATCGAGTTAAAGTATTACTGTTTTACCTTCCAATAGATATTGGTATTTAACTTGTTGACAAAATCATTATAACAGGAAATAAAAATTTAATTCTAGGCAATCAGTTGTCTACAAGTTAGTGATAATTGCATTGAAATCATGTATGCTGGAGAAGTTGTATTCGTTTCTAAAGCAAGCTTGCAAACATTTACAAAGCAGTAAAATAAAAAAAAACACCTACAGGCTCTCTGGTGACCCCTTACCGCAAACCCTTATATACATACATTTGCATCCTTTCGCAAACAATGGAAAATAAATTAAACAATAACATTCGGAATGCCTGCGCAGTCCCCAAATTGTAAATCTCAATCGATTTGCTGGAAGTTAAGGTATATTTGATTAGGGACCCGCCGACATCCCCTAGCCCTAAAGCATTCCCTTCGGCTGCTCATATCGCCATTTTTATTTGCCTCTTTTTATTAAATCGATTTCCAATGATGCCCTTTTAGGGCAGAGAATCTTTCTAATATCGTTTTAAGAGTGTTACAGCCTTTTTATTTCCGTGAAATAAAATTCTTTTACTTATTCAATATTCTCTTCCTGATATCTAATAAAAAATTAATAACGTTTGCTGAATGAACAGTAAAAGTAACGATAGCACACAAATGTGGTAGACAGAGGCTATGGATGTTTATTTTTATTGTTTTACGTTTATTCTGCAATTCATTTGTTGTTAATATCGTGTATACTCATTAATTCTACATGATGTAATTTGTCTCAAGTTAGCAAGATACGTAGTTACAACGCTTATTTCATTTGCCTAAGGCTACGTAATAATGTTTGCCCGCTACATCAAGGTGGGTTAATTAGGCGTCGCGTTGGATCCTAGGCAGCCTCGGAGCGAAGACGACACAACTTCGCTAACGTGGAAAGAAAACTTAAATATTATCGTGCTATTTATGTATGTAAATATGTCGATTTGATTAAGAATATCTTAACTTAAATTTACCGTAGTTTATAACAAGATGACAACAAAAACTTTGTACACAAAAAACATAAAATGTGAAGTAATCCAGGGAGCATCACAGATGTAGAGAATTAACAACCCTTCTAATTACTTTAAAATTCAGGGGCACTCTGTTACTGCTTAAGTATTTACGACGTGGCTGTATCCAGATAATAGGTCTCGTAAAATAAAATAAATAATTAGGGCACCGGCAAATTCATGAATAACTTATTTGTTACAGTGCAAGATACAGAGTCAGAGCCCCCTCCCCCTGTGCTCTCCCCCCACAGCCTGGTGTCCCCCGCGCGGTTAATTACTGAAGGGGATAATTTTGACACTCTGTTATTCATGGTTCATTGAAACCGAATTAAACCACAACTTTTACTACTTTATCTTTATATTGTTATGACGTAAACATAAAGTTACTAACTTTCGCCGGCGTATCCGTTCTTGTGAAATTAAAAAATAAAGTGTCTGACACATAAGCCTATGTGTTTTTTCAGATTGTCATCTAAATCTATACCAAATATCATTGAAATTCGTTTTGCCATTTAGACTACAGACTCTAACACAGATCCATCCATCTAAACTTTCGCATTTATAATATAAGTATGATGTTTTAATTGGTTTAGAAAGCAAACTTTTATCAATAACTGATTTATCTCTCCAGTAATAATCACTGAAATATGATATAACTTATTTGGTGAACCACAACTGATATGGTAACTGTAAACATAGTTTTTAGGACACTTGCAAATGTTTGTTTATGATTCAGGTCAATCTTTCATAGGACATGTAAATTGTTACGGTTTAAAAAAACCACAGTCTAATGTATGACTTAAAGGATATGTAAAGCATTTGAATAATGCGATTACTCGGTCAGTTGTCCAACCGTTCAGCTGTCCCCTAACTGCCGCGCACGATCGCCTCGCAATTTCGACCACTGTTTAATCTATGGCCGCAGTACATCGTCACTAACGTATCACGCAGTGAACCGATTACACCACGACCTTCCTATTCCAAGAGTGCATTTGTTTCTTAACACTTTTAAATAGTTCAACATTAAATTGTCGGCTCAAATTACTATTTCATATTCTTTTAAAAGTTTTTTTCTGAATTTACATTGTAGCCAAGTACGTAATACCGTTTCTCTTGTGGTAAAAATAATTTCATTAATCAATCCCAAGCAGAGGTCTGTGTTTTAGTTCTTTTAAAACAATAGACGAAAGCGATTAGTTATTAAAATAACTATTCTGTTCAGGTCCAATTCAATTAATTGAACAAAACCGTAACTTTGTTTAATATAATTAACAAGAGAATTTATGTACCCTCGGGTAATATAGTTACAAAAATTATATGAGAACAATGTAACGTAGTTCAATATGTTGTAACATAAAGGGAAGGGAGAGAAGTTAGCCGAGATTATAATGGCGGGGTAATCTCTGAATCTCTAATTATTATCTAGGCGACAACACACGCGCCACCGCAGCCCGCCACTGCCCGCCGCTGCCCGCCGCTGCCCGCCGCGCCGCCCGCCGCCGCTCACCGCTTGCTGCTTTCATGAATAAGTTAATTGGGTCTCTGTATAAACAAAAGTAGTCACGCAATGAATTGCTTTGATATATCGCATGTTATTAACAGTTACAGAACGAATTTGTAAATAAAAAAGCTAAAGCTCCAAACTAAATGACCACAGCCGATATGACATACCTTTTATTTGCATTTCATAATTTTATTACTTTATTATAATCAGCACTTTAATGAAAGGCAAAGACAAGTTTTATAGGTACAGATAAATTCGATTTTACAACCATATTTCCATATACAAAACAAACATGTAGGTATACAAGTAATAAATAATGTCCAATTAAAATAAACGTTCGAGAAAGTTTTCCTAAATGTTGCTCAAAATAGAAGTCAATTTACCTTACTGGCGTAGCGGTAACATAGAGGCGTAATTGACTTGTCTTTAAGCAAATACTCCCACGTCCCGTCGATAGACGCGACGAGGATGTGGCGCTGACGAGCTGCGGCAGATTTCCCGCGGGACTCCCCGCTCGCTGCCGACCTTCACTGCGTCGACAATTGCCACGCGTGGGTGTGGGTATGCGGTTTTATACACTTGTCTTATAAAAGAACGAAGTTTTTCCAGTAAAACAAGTTTAGTTTTGTAAAGACGGAAATACACATCAACGAGGTTTTATAGGCGGGACTTGTTGGTGACGTTCCTAACGTCCTCGACCTTCCTCATACAAGTAGATGTCACAAAATCAAATATCGTGCTAGCTACTTCTTAAGTCGAATGACAATGAGAAAATCTTATTAAAATCCAAGAACTAGACAGACGTTGGAAACACAAACTAATGTTGAATTGTTCGAGAACTAAGTTTGAGAAGCACTTGTAACGAGTAACAGCGGACCGTTTCGAAAGCAATTATACTTTTCGATTGTTCCACTCACGAGTTGGTTGTGAATACATATAATATCGCTTCATCTCGAGTCAATTCAAAGGAAGACTGTATTAGCGTAATAATGGTTTTCATTGCTTCGAACAACTCGCGCTTCCAGTAAGAGAATTAGAAAGGAGCGTTCGGAGATAACAAAATTATATTACGTCTGATATTTGGAGAGAAGTTACTTGAACTGTTTTCACAAGTCTAATTTGAAACGGCGCTGTGAGCTGTGAGAACATTGTACTCGTACGTATAGTAATAGTATTGAAAATGTAAGACGTTTATTAATTCTATTGAGAATCGCAAAGCCATTTCTGAATTACCGTGTTGTTAAAACAAACATTTAAGGAACTTAAATCTTAAGATTGTAGAGCGTCAAGCTCCTAAAGGTACTACGCAAAGAATGCGAATAGAAAATTGCTCGAAACTCTATAACGCTAATTATTTAGAATATGGTAAAATTAAAAAGTAATAATAAGTAAAACATTAAAAGATCAGTCATATGATACCCAAATGTTTTCCATTCAAGTAAATGATGTGGAAAACCTAGATAAGCTAGGGTAAAGAATAGCCCGCAGTAGAGATAAAAACGGTAAAATATCGGGCGATGAAGACATCGTCAATAAATTGTTCTTCGCTCTAACGTATGTACGTATTAAATTCACCCCGAAAAAAAGAGATCGTCGTAAATATAGGGAAATCTTCGTGTAACTCGCGAGCGGCCACGGGGGCTTCGTATGAACATCCATATTTCCACTTTACTTGTTCTCTGGTTTTTCGCAACGAATATTTTCGTTGGTGAATATCGCTGCCGGAATGGTTTTCGTTTTTTATTCGCAAGGATTCGTATAATGCCGGCCCGGGGAGATGTCGACACATAAAATGCAAAATTTAAACGCAATCGACGTCGATATTTCCTTTAAAGTAGTTTTCGTTGCGAAGTTGTTGCAAAAGCTTCTGCTATTTCCTTTTTTAACAGATATAAAAGTGTATTACTTTTGATTACCGCATTTTTAGTTTACTGAATGTACGAGTAAATAACATTCTATGGTTTCAAAAATACTTCATTTCTAAGCAATATGTCTTAAGGAATAGTTATGATATAATATAATTGGCTGATACAGAATCTGTTCACTGTACATAGTTATATAATTTAGTGAGGTTAATTTAACTATGATAAATTTTAGTTATATTAAAGTCCCGATGAACAAATAATAAAAAAGATAATAATGAAACTCTATTCACAAGATAATTACAGTTCTCTTTATCTTTAGGTATCAAACAAAAGAACAATCATAATATTTCTACTTGTAATTTTAATTAAAGAGATGTATAATTAAGATGTATAATTTTAGTTGAAATTTCTTAATAATTTCTAATTGGCACCGAAGAAAGATCACTAAAAACATGCTGCGGGCTTACTTAATGTTTTTTTTTTCTCGAGAAAAAAAAACAAGTATCATGATTCTTAAAACAACCAAAAACGTAAAAAAAGTATTCCATTAATTATTTGTGTAAATTGAAAAGCAGTATAATGATGAAATATTTAGTCTTAACATTAAAATAAGTACCATTCCTTGATTTCAAAGAAGCTCTTACTAAATAACAATTACTATCTTAAATACAGCAGTCTCAGCTCTTTATCATGATGTGAGGATGTTGACACCCGTCTAGTAGCTCGGTTGATTCTTTATATTAAATGATACAACTTACCTTGTACGTGCCGAGATGTTCGACGACGCAGGGCAGGCTGGCGTCGCGGCCCAGAGCCACCGTCACGTTGGGGATGGGCTCTGCGAAGCGCGGCTCCTCCGTCAGCACTGATAAACAAGTATAGCATGTAACACACCCATACGATAATTTAGAACAACTATCCTACTGCTGATTATGGTATAGTGGTATCCTACCACTTTTATCTAGAGTGTTGCCAAAACTGTACAGTAAAACTTCATTTTCACTATAATTAAAACATGAGTTTCAAGCAAAAATGTCAAAGTATTTCTGAATCAACTGTTAAATCGAAAGTTATACAGTGTTTGTAATGACGGGAAACATCCTTTACTAAACAACTTGACAAAGTTAAGCTGAAGTCGGTAAGTAATGGACCGCTTTGTAAGCGATATTGCCGCTAATGAGGCTCGAGCCGACCTCAAGTTGTCCTGTTTATATAGTTTTATTGGGAATGTTGTGATGTATACGTAAATATATTCTACTGGTATTCAAATCAAACTATTATTACTTTACGTAGCTAAAAAATAATATATCACTCTAGTCGGACTATAAGCTCAGAGTATTTGCTTAGGGTGAAAGGGTTTTAAGAGCTAATAATATTCTTGAAACATTGTATATTACCAAGCACGGAGCTATCATAATAATTACTGGAATATATTAACAAACTCATCCGCGTACGGAGTGAGGGCGCCACCGCCGCGGGCCCCGACATCATACCCCTCATAATTATAACGTTGTTCATATTTTTTTTTCTAAAGTTGAAAAGTTTCATTCAGGTGAAATGAAAGAAGATTTTGGTGAATTTATTTTCAAAGAACACGATCTCTATTGTGCTCGGCCGCTCCACAGTGAATTGATTACTTTCAAAGTTATCTCACGGACTGAACATTTTTCTTATTTACAATTTTTAGAGACTAATGAGCTATGAGATGATTAAAGAATTGAAAATAATTATGAGAAAGAATGAGGAATTAAAAAAAAGGATAAATCAAATGCTAGATAAATGAGTAGACTGAACAAACTTCCTTTATTACATAAGAACCCACTTATAAGAGATTATTGGTTTTAAAAAGACACTTTATGATTTGAAACACATGCTATTCGGTAAAAAAAATCATTGTGAAACTACGCCCAACAAAATAATAGTTTACGATAAGCATTCAGAGAAATTAAAGAGAAGTATTTGAGGGACAATATCATAAGTTTTAGCTGAACTTGTCTATACTTAAAGAGATTGACGCCGCAAATAACTTGGGTGGCGATTGTTCACAGACATGCGGCTACAGATGTGAGAAGCGAGATTTAATTATACCAAGTTCGAAACCCTTTAAAATATTGTCTTCATTAAGATTCTGCGCCCTTTGAGGCTGCTTTTATTTGAAAAGTTTTGTTGTAATTTCGGAAAGTTAGTTAGCCTATTAACAGTTTCATTTATGATGTTCATCGTTTCGTGGCTTGATGAGAAGCCGATGTTCTGACGGGATAACAATAACGGAATGCGAATTGAACATTGTATTAAGATGGAAACTTTACTTGTAACTATTAAAATAAGACTTAATACCAAATTCTTAGAACTGATTAAAGTCTTAAATAACTTAGATAAATAAAATAATGTTAATTCTGGTTAAGAAATTGACAAAGAAAAGGGAGTAAAGGTAACACTTAAGTAATTTTAGAAAATAATCTTGATATTTTTTAGATTCAATAAGCTTACCTTGACAAATGATTGTGATGATCTGTATTATGCTTATAGCAAAGCTCTTGAATGAGCCCCGTCGAAAGCTCATGGTCACATCAGCTCTGTACCTCCACTGACATTCTCTTACCCGGCTCTGTTCTCAGCTACACGCTGTATCAAATGTTCCGACACTTTCATTGTTAACGTTTAGTATCTGGAACAACAAAATTCAATTATAACTAAAAGCATATCAATTGTGATTATAATAAACACGAGTTTAGAGTTTTATATGAAGCAAACAAAATAATAAAAATGTGTTGTTTGAAATTAATAAACAGATCGTCTGCAAAGTTTGACGTTGAGATATTGACGATGCTGAGCAATAGTTCAGCGGGCACACAGCTCTAAATAATCTAAATTTATCTGTTGTAATTTAATCGATACAATTGTGTCATCATCCACTTGCCCTTATCCCTTATGGAGGGTCGGCACAGTATGTGCTGCTCTTCCATACATCTCTATCAGCCATCATATCTGAATCCACTCCTTTCTTAAGCATTTCTTCTTTCATGAAATCCATCCATACTTTCTTCGGTCTTCCTCTTCCTTTGTAGCCATCCACATTCAATCTCAACACTTTCTGGTTTATGTCCCCATCATTTCGTCGCAATCGATACAATTGTGTATATCCAGATATTTCGTTTAACTGCCATGTAATTCTGTATCTACACTTAGTGCCTTTTCTTATTGAACAATTACTCGAAGTGCGGTGGTTAGTCACGCAAATAAGCAATACGTTGTATAAGAGTGTAATTATTTGCGAGTACGGAGGCTATGACAAACAAAGAAGCTGGCAGGGTAGTAATGGCGACATTTACACGCTCGGTTTTCTTGTATGTCGGCACGTTAGTAACGCGCCGTCTATTTGGCTGATGACTCCCCGACGTGCTCCATTTTACCTGGCGCTACCACACGGGGAGCGGGGAAGAGAGATTTCTATTGTACAAAGCCATGTTAAGGCTAGGTGATGCAAGTGTATTCACGATATTGTTATTTTCGTATGCTCTGAATACTATGGTTTATTAATTTTGTTATGACGTTTGTGTAGTAAGTTACCAATTGTTATGTCATCAATTCTACACTTCAACAGCACAATTTTTCTTTTAACGTTTTGATTGTATTTGACTTAGTGACTACTATTTTTATTACCATTTTCATCTACAGTGGTAGTGCACTTGAAAGCAAGTGAAATTGATAAGAACTTAACTATTTACTGTGAAATTGTCCCAATGATAATAATATAAAATAATTCAAATAACCGTGTTATGTTGTTATGAACACAGTTATTTGAATATGGAATAAAATTTAATAGTAATTTACAATTATATCAATCACTGATGTAATTCATAACTTGAATTAGAATGTAATTTAAGTCTTAAAAGGCACCAATAGCTACAAAGTTTAATATTAATCTTTTTCAAAAGAGTTTCAAATTGTAATATTGTTTCGCAAAACTTTTAAACTTGACTTGAATTTTGAGTGGCGCAAAAGTCTCGTTAAGTATCCTCAAACGATTGATCTGAGACCGCAGTTCCGCTCTCGAACCTTGACGGAACAAAGATGTAGAATGATCGTCGCAAGTCTCGAGAGATGCAGTTTAAATACATATTAATTTGTACTGAAAATTATGGTTATAATATAACCAAGCTTATTATTCAAATTGACATATTAAACACAATTGTATAAACGTTAGATACAGATATTAAAAGTTAAGCAATCGCAAGTTCTTGCGGCTGCAGTTCTTGTAAGTCAATAATAGATCCACAATTTAATTTCTTGGACCGTTAGACTGAAATGCTTGCAGTAGATAATTACATCTAATGGAATTGTATTCTTGAACTCCATTCGTTAATGAAAATTGGAATGATAGTATCAAAGTCAAACAGATACTCCGGCTTCATTGCAAATATGATAAAGTAATACACCTCCGGGATGATCAGGGAAAGGGGGCGGTTATTAGTAATTCCAGCGAGCAAAGTAAAAGTAAATATTCCATTGATGGCTCGGTAACGTCGCGTCGTACAAAGGCGGAATTATCCATAAACATTGTCGATTCATCCGGCAGCCGGTAGGGGGCGCGGCGGTCAAACATCGACTGTTCCACATCAAATCTAATATAAAACCCAGTGAGCAAACACCGATATCGTCGGCGATAAAAATGTTTGCACAAATATTTTGTCAAATTTTCCGGACCGATATTTATGACTCGCAGACTAAATCGTTTCTTATCTAGATGATAATAAAATTGTAAATTGAAAAGCAATAGTCGGAGAGCGCCCCGGGCCGGCGAGCGGACGATGCGCGGTTATAATTCATCTGTATGCGTCTCAGTTTGCCCCGGGGCCAGTTCCCTGGACTTTGTGAGCTTAAGTAGCTTGAAAACGGTCTCATTTTGTTAAAAAGGCCCCGGTTAAAACGCTGTTCCTGCCATTGCCAACGCTTCCAACAACTTTATTAGAGTTCTACTTGATGTAATCGCATGTAAAATTCATATTTATGCCGGAAAGTTTGCGCACAATATCCGTTTGTAATATCTGGGATATTTGAAAAAACTCTCAAGGGTCACATTTATTTTTAACACTGTCCTTGATTTATACGATTATTTCCTACTTTAAAGCACAAAATAATTTGTAGATAAATTCCCACAAAAACCTCACTTCACCCTTCAGATTTGGGGCGTCGCTATTGAAAATTTGCAAATCGGTTATCGCTTGGACCCCTGAATACTTAAAGCCTTTTCAATTTTTCTCAAAGAAGATATGAATATTTCGAAAGGTTATAATGCGATTAGAATGAAAATCTCAAACCTCAGCCGGGGTAATAAGGAGCGTGACTTGGAACAATTTTGCCTCATCTTGTTATATTAAAGGCGCGGAAGCGGCCGCGCGCTCATCAAGGGCTTTGTGCATTAAAGAGGACACTAATAGCGGTGAAATTATATGTTTGTATAGTTTTAATTTATATTAATTATTATAAGGGCTACATCATCAATTAACAATATGTTATTATTAAGTGATATTGAAGCTCTCTTTTGCCGAAAGATTTGTTAAATCTGTTCAGTATTTTTGAAGATTATTCTAAACAAACAAATCTATATCATTTTATAAAATACAAATAGTAAGTTCGAAAAAGAATACAGTAGTAGATATAATTTCACGAAGCAATCCCTTAAAGGAGTTTTTCAATACCCCGAAGTATTCATTTGACTGATCTCACAAAATAATTTGCAGACACTCTCTGACTTTCCTTACCAACTGGGAAATTAAATTAAACTTCCAGTTACTTTTTTATTCCAGATAAAAAAACTTAATCATAATGAAAAACTTCTACCAGACATCTTTGAACTCTTTTTACTAAATATTGCAAGAAATGACACTATCGCAACTGGACGTTTCCATTGCAATACATTGCGACGAAACATGTTTCTATCAGCTCTTTCAACGTCTAACGACTATTCTTACAAAGTAAGTTTACATAAAGCTCTTTTACAGTATACCAACTTATAACTTTAATGTATTATTGATATCAAATTAACATTACAATACGTTTTTATAAGAATGTTGCTTTACGCAAGAAGGTAATTTATTTCACTTCCAAAAGGTCGTTTAAACTTTCATAGCAAGTGTCACAAACACGGGGCGTTTCTCCGAATAGTGCGGGGCTAAGCCTGAGACATGATATATCGTTGGCTATCCAACACTTCACTTGTTTTTATACCACTTATATGTCTATTTACATCTTAACATTAATCTTAACGTAGGAGAAAGGTATCTCACGCGTACAAAATAAACATAGTTCTCTTGTATGTTGACATTTAAAATGTGTGGGTGTACACGTTAAGCTGTAACTTCATAATTATACAAGTTGTGATAGCAATGCTTATCTACTTTGTTATTAAATATGCTTAACTTGTATTAGTATAAACTATTTTAGGAGAGAACGGTATATTGTGTGGGTTTTACTCACTTACTTAAACCTTAAAAAAGTTAGACAATGTTTAGTTAAACACGTGTTTTAACCCTGATCGCTGAATTAACGTTAATGTGGTTATACGTTGCAACATCAATATGACTAGTTGTTGCTCGCGACTTCAACTGTGTGAAATTAAAAAAAAAATTAATAATGCTGTTACTCAGTGATAACGTAGCGTTTTAATGGTGCAAGCATTTTTTAAATCGGTTAAGTAGTTTTTGAGTTATTACAATACATACAAAAACCAAAAAATACAAAACTTTCCACTTTACAATAGTTATTACAGATTTTAGTAAGGCCATTTCATTTTACTTTGTCCAAGTTTGCTTCTATAATAAAAATAAATTAATTATATGAGGCTTTTATTGAACCGAATGCAGACTTGAGATATTTTAGCAAAGCCACACTAATTACAGGCGCATTGCAGTCCCAAGTAAGGATTCTATCTGCAGTTAATATTCTGAACTCAAAAAGGACTAGTAACAATATTCCATTGAAAATGTAAATTCCTCGTTGGTTTAAAATAAAGGAGATAGTAAAGTTAACTATAAATCGAGGACCATCTTTACAGTAGCAGTTAAAATTAAAGTTTAATGCAGTAGACAATAAGTTGCTTATTGCTTGTGTGTAGCAAATATAAACAGACCGTCTAGTGTCAAGCATAAATTATCTAAAGTTCAAACGAAAGCGAGATAAAGTACAAAAAATAACATATTATAATACTAAATCACAAAGAACAATAACCGTTATTTAATGCTGATATTGAAGTTAACTGTGAAGTGGTTTTTATTCACTTGTATAGTTTTAAACTGAATATCAGTAATGTTACATAATCTAAATAAAATTTATTGATTTTTTTATTTCCTACTTTAAAAGTTCATACTCTAGCAATGTTTATATTACACTCTGTTTAAATTTGCGATGCGATGTTCGTCAAACATTCACTCACGTTAAATACAATATTTTTTAAACTTGTAGGACAATTTACAGTTTTTTTGTATAAAAAAGGCCATTTAAATGAAACTCCTAGTGGTTTTTTGTCCGAACTAACTGTGTTTTTTATCACTTGTTGACAAAGCTAACATTTGTCAGGTAATTTAAGAATATTTGTGATAATTAAACGATTCATTTTGTTGTATTATTTATTTGTAGTTTTTGTTTCGTTGCAGGTCTGTGTGAGATGAGCGTCTGTTACCGAGTTCGTTTTCATAATTAGGGAAGAAAACTAATTTAGCCGCTTAATGAACCTTCCAACAAGTGCTCTCGCTAACAAATTTTTATATTTTTGCCGGTGAAGGATACTTGTAAAAATTTAATACACAGACGAAAGGTTAATTAAGAAAGAAACTTTTTAAAATATTGTTTCAAGGTATGAGAACAAACATAATTTTTTTTGATTTCACACATTAACTTTTCGTAATGTTACTTTCTGTAATATACGTTCGAGCCCATTTTTTTTCGAATAAGAAACTAGTGCATCATACAGTTCAAAATGGCGACTCCTTTCAAACGCAAGTTCTGCAAAATTAAGGCATGGTCAAATCACTTGGGGATCGAGTGAATATTTGTCCCAGCATTGTTAACAATAGAGCATTTGCGGCGTGTCCCCGGGGCGCGCCTGAGGCTGGACCATTGAAATGCACAGCGGCCCCTGCCGGCTGCCCCCGGCCGCTGCCGCGGAGTTTGGCAGCCAGACTACACGCAATTGAAAACAGATGAAGGCTTGAATGTTTGCCGGTAAACTTTCCAACTATATTTGAAGCTATTGAAGATTTGTCCAATAAATATACATAAATAAAGATTTGACAACTAAGAAATCGATGATCATATTATCAATAATCTATACTAATGTTATAAAATAAAAGATTTGATCGTTTGTTTGTTTGAGAGAATTTGAAAGAATCTTTCGCCATTAGGAAACAACACTGTCTCTGCGTGATATAGACTGTGTTTATTACTAGATTTTATTAATACTGCGCTGACGAAAACGCGAGCGATAGCTATTTCTTAATATTTGTAAATGTTCAGCTTAAGTCTGCATTTTCTACCTGAATTTTAAACACTTATCTTTAGTTAAATAAACGGTTTAAAATACTCGGTAACTGTAACTCATACATACTTTAATGGATTCGTTCAGAAATACCTTTACTTACTACGTTGAATTGCAAAGAAAAATCTATCCCAAGTCTGAGAGAAAAGCTTATCTTCTTTAACCGTGCATTACACTGAAAGACTTTATAAGATAGAGTCATATAAGCTTATATGGTAGCCTGTTACCATAACAATGCTTAGGTTTGTTGTTTACGATACGACAGAAGTCGTAGTGTCGGTACGGCAAGCGCTGTAATGCTAGTTTCACACGAGGGCACAACAGTAGCCAGTGCTTTATTGATTGGTTGAACGCACCTATACTGTCAAAACGTTGAGTGCACTGGCATACTGTTCTGCCCACGTGTGAAACTAGCTTAATGGTGCAACTCGGCCCTATAGCCGCTGTAAGGATGATAGCGTTATTTGTGCCGCGGAACTTTTCTAGCGTTATTGCGGAGAGTTTACAGATTATCTCCTAATAAAGAGTTTTCTAGGAGAAATAACCTTATTCAATACTGTTTAACTTTTAAACAATATATAATATCATAAATAAATTCACTAATTACTGTCACGTTTGACACTCGTGTTTTTGAGAAATGAAATATTAAATAGAAAACATTTAACTAATTTTATAATTCAGAAAGTTTAAATGGATGTCTAGAACGGCTCAACGAATCTTGCTAAAATTTACCACAAATACAGAACACAGTGTGAAAGAACACAAAGCCTATGTTATTTTTTAATTGCGCGCGGACTTAGTCTCGGTCATAGACTATAAATGTTTATTTTAAAGAAATTAAAGTGCTATTTTGCAACGCTTCTCATTTCTTGAGAATGCATAATCCATTATCCGCGTAGGTGTTGTCAAAGCGACTTAGTAGACAAATAAAAACATTCTTTGCACTACACTTTGCTCAAGATTAAATAAAATGCACTGAAATAAAATGTGTACGTGTACTAAGCTGTGATACGCTTATGAATATATCATTTTTAGAAGCTATATAATATTAAAAACGTAGTCCGAATAAAATGTATCTTCTACATTTGAATTAGAAATGTATTTATCGCTATGTTTTTACTATGTGATTGATTTTCATATAGTTTCATTTGCAGATATTAATGTAAACATTTCAACCTACAAGTATAATCGTTTCGTGTTAAAATATCTGCAAAATGTTCAGTCTCGATTTATTCAAAATAAATAAACTTTGAGTGGCGACGTTAAAAGTTAAATTAGAATTGAGATTGAAGATTTTAATGATGCTGAAAATGTTCTTTAACTTTTTTTAATGTCTGTTTACGTTTTTTTGCTGAATTTTTTCGTAAAGCTTTTAACACTTTTGGTGATAATGTAAAGCCTTTTAAATAAGGGCTTTTCGAGCTTTATTGACTTAGAAAATTAATTGACTAAATAATTTAAATTTAACTGAAAAGTTGATATTTATTAGAATTTAAACATGGAAATGTAAATTTTCAGCTTAAAATGTGTGCGTTATATTGAAATTTACAAAAAAATAATAATGCAGGCAAAACTACAGCATAAAACCGAGTAAAATAATCTTCCTTGTTGAGCTTATAGAGAAAGAAAAGCTTAGAATAGTTAATGCATACTGAATTATTAAGAGAGGAGAGTTAAAAGGTTTTTATTTAAACATGTTGAATCTAGATGATATTTATAATATAACTAAATAATATGTATCACAAATATGTATTAAAATTATAATTCTGAGCTACTATAAACATTTTCGTATGCTTTATTTAACAAAATCTATAACAGGTAGTCCTAAAGCAATTATGTTCCACTCCATTTCAATCTAAGCTGCAGTTTGAGCTTAACCGAAGGCATCAAACCCATACAATATTCATAGTTAATCGCCGGCGGTTTAATCAATCTCAAATAAGACGGCACCTGCCCTGTGCTATTGTACTGCGGCCTCTTGTTACGTCCACGTGAAGGCTGTATCGCCTCTAAACGCTCAGGCGTTGTGTCTAAATATTTACAAATTTTATTATGCTGAAGTACTATGAATATTAGAGAAATTCTTTAGATAAAATTAAGAGCAAAGTATGGGCAATGATCTCTTTTACTAACGTTGCGTATTTTTTATAGCTTATTTTTTTAAGATACATGTACATTCTTCCTTTGTCTTTCGTGTTTTTTTTTATTTCAATAATCGGTACAGTAATTTTTGGGTCATTCGATACATACAAAATTACAAGTCTTTGTAATAATCTTACTTGATATACTTTAAACTTATATTTCGTTACTATCTTTTAATGTATAGTCCCAAGTAGATTTCAATGATCGGATGTTATGCTCAATTTTAATTATTCCATTGGCGTGTCCACAGCTAACAATATGCGATTACAATTATTCCGATTAACTAATATCAAATTAATTAGTGTACCTGTAATTAAAATACGCAATATAGATATATTAAATAGATTAATTAATATCCTGGAACTCCGGACTCGCGGATGACATGAATGTGAGATGCACAGCCGTTTTACAGAGTTGAATTATTAATTGTGTAAGCGATTAGTGTTTAGGGCCACTTGACTCCAATTGCATAACATGTTAATAGTCTGTTGCTATATACCGTGCATTTATTAAGTGGTTATGTATTAATTTATCGATTTTTTACTTAACATTATCCCTTATTAGAATACTATAAAATAAGTTACAAAATGTTTTCCCTTATTAATAAAAGATTGAATTCTTTATTCCATATTAAGCCCAAACTATTCCACAATCAAAATTACTAGGGTTTAAGTGGGGCTATGTTTTATTTTCATCCGTCAACTCAAGTTAAAGGTGAAATGAATGTTTCAAATATAGAAGTCTCTTATCGTGAAAAGTGTTAGAACGTGAAACTTATGACGTGAAGTTTTATGACTGAAGTGAGTCGAAGTGAGTTTTATGTTTATGTTATTCGAGCCTTTAAATTTCATCTTAAAACAGCTTGATACTGACTCTGAGTGCAGTATCATTTAAAATATGCTGCTACTCGTATTATGCCTCGTCATTGTTATTATATATTCTTTAACTCAAGGATTTTCAACTCTTCAACAATATAAAAGCAATCAAATTTAAAGCATATTTAAAAATTAAATAAATATAAAAGTAACACAAATAGGTAAAACTAATCCAGTTTATTTAAATAATTGATAATACATAATTACCCGAACACAAATATAATTTACTATTATAGATAAACGAAAACATTTAAAAAAATATATCCTGTACACAACAGTAACGGACAAAGTGTATTCTTAAAATAAATTATTTAAGCTAATTATTTTAAATTGTTAAAAATAGTTAACATAAAGAAAATATTTAAATACGAATAATAACCATAGAAAACCTCACCTCATTTCGTATATCCCACAATTATAACACACAACCAATATTCAAATATTTGTAATTCAAGAAAAACAGTTCGCATAGACCGTCCCGTCGGCTACGACAACGTAAACTTTATAAAGTTTCCCGTTCTACGGGCTACGAGGCGCTACGAGCGAGTTAGACGCGCGCGGGCCGCGGCCAACCACGACCTACTGAGCGCTGCCTCACCGCCGCTGAGCGCCGCCACCTTCAAAAGCATCCACTACGTTACATGCTAAGATCGAAATTTGATCGCAGTTAGAATGAACGCGCACTAAGACAGCTCGTTGGCTATTTAGCCCGAAAAGAGGGTTGTTCCGCGCATGCGTTGGGTCGTTCAACCCTTGCAGTGGATGCTGCATCGTAGCCCATTAGCCGTTTCGGCGCTGCACAGCACAAGATGTTGACGCATGCTATTAATTTTTACACCAAATATCTGTCCCCTGCCCGCTGCCGGTTTAAACTATACAGGAATACGGATAAAGTTATCCAAAACAAAAAACAGAAACTGTTATCTTAGATTTTCTACATGAATAAGGACAACCCTACTTAAAAAAGTTTGTATACGATTATTCTTTACTTACCAGTCAAGTTTAGCATTTCTATTAAAATATTGTAAGGAATATATAAAAATATAGAAAACTTATGTATAGAAATGCAATACCATTTACGATACACTAGCTGTTCCCGTGCGGCTTCATCCGAGTGAAATTATAAAAAAATTAATTTTATTGCTTACATTTGTCAAATTATCAATAGCAAATGTCAAAATGACATGACATTACAAACCTTGGCAATCTTGCTTCCTTGATGTTGGCGGCAAATTATGGTCTCTTTCCCACATTAGGGTTTTTATCCAAAATATTTACCCCCTTAGTTTAATGGCGTGAAAATACATAGCCTAAAGCGTGACGCAAGTGTAGGGCTTTTTATTAAAAAAAGAACTATTCAAAAATATGATGTAATTGCTGACATCTTAGGCAACAAACAAGTGTGTGTTTTACACTTTATTGTCACAGTATAGATTATACGTTACTTATATTTCTCATTAAACATTTTAAAAATTAAGCTTACATCCGCAGGTTAACTTTAACTTGTTTCTAATTAACATTTAATGTTTGTTAATGTTATATTTTAACTATTTTAAAACAATGCTTTAATGAATACGTGTGAGCGGGGCGCGCAGGTAATTTTAGTGCAGCACAATATAAATGTGTGCATCTGACAGTTAATTAGACACGTTTTGTGTGAAACAACAAAAAACGTGCATTATGAAAACGTAAATATATCGCGTTGAGTTGTGACGAAAAGTTGCGAAATTAATGTGTTTTTATTGTTTTGGGCGCTATTCAAATAAATATCTTGAAGCTTTATTGTATTTTTAGAATTTTCATCTTTATTATACTAAACAAACTGAGGCTAAACTAAAGGATTTCGTTTATTAACTAATCATCACTGAATTTATGTTGTAAACGTCCACGTTAATGGATAAGTCATAGAATTTCCAAGCTACCATATTCCTCATTTAACATTAATTGCCTCCGATTAGCAAATCGTCCAGGTGACATGAGCGCTAAAATGCCGCCAATAACTTGTAATTTATGTTTAGACCGTAGTTTAATATTCAAATATAAATAAAGTACCGCTGTACTAAGTGAGAATATAAAATGTGTTAATTCTTTTGAAAAAAATCTTAATAGATTCTGATTGACGAGCCGAAATTATTATATCAATATTTATTTTGATAACACACTGACGTGTAATATACGAAATATACACACAGTGTGAGAGCAAAAGAAGCGTGAAAAATACAAAATGAAATAGCGGAAAGAAAAATATTTACTGTTCGACATCGACAGCGACATCTTTACGCACATGAAGCAATCAACGTCTGCGCCTGACTTTCATTGACAAATTAGATTGATTCGACACATTACCCCCCGCCCCGCCCCGCAACACCCCGCAACACCCCGCAGCGCTCCGGCCGATTGCGTCTACTCGCGTGTTCCGCCGCCACTTGCATACCGATGTACCAATAATCATCTGACACAAGCCATATTTTGAATAACCAACAACACACGAGAAATTTAATTTAGTAAATTTTAAAATAGTAACTAGACCAAACCGAATATGCTTTCTAGAAGTATACAATGTCAATATATTTTAATTAAAAGAAAATATTTGAATACTAAAGATAATAATAATATGTACGTAACAGCGCAAACTTGTCCAAGAAATACTTGGGAACTAAGCCTTTTTAAATTTACAATCTTAACGAGCTCTTCGCCGGGCGGCAACTTTGGCTATTGGCCAAACCAACCGCATAAATGTAATGGTATTTAAATGTCCTCAGATTATTGGCCACTAGTGTTCTAATGTTACTTTATGATTAATCCTCTTTCGCTTTTTTTGACCGACTTCCCAAAAGAAAAAAGTACTCAATTCGTCTGTACATTTTTTGTAGAGATCTAACTCTTTTTGCAATTGAAATCTTATATAGAGTATTTGTAGTACTAAATTCAAATTATAACTGAAATTAAATCAGAGTATAGTGCCCGCAATATATAATTGTTAAAAGGTCATTACGCCTATTTGCATCGCCACATTTGCTTAGTTTTAGTACCAATTAACGTTAAAATACTGTAATAACATAAACATGTAAAGTACTACTTTATATGTTTTCTAAGTAAATGTCTATTCAATAATTCAAAGGATATAAATATAACCCTGTTTGCGTACTTTAAAAGCTTGTATAACTTTTCTAGTTTTTCGCCTGACGTCCTATTTTGAATGGTCCGCTCGGAGGGTTGACGTGCTCCGTAATAACTCGGGCTATGGATATATTTTACAGGCGACCTTTGCTACTGATAAGCAAGGTTCATCGCACATCCATTCAGAGTGCTCGCTCGATCATGTTACGTACACCTAGAAGAGTTTCCGTGTCATCCCTATCCAGTTTATGATACGTTAGTGACAAGCAAAACGATTCAGTTTACCTTTGGGACACTTTAATACTAAACGTATGTACAAATATAATTTCAACCTTTAAAATCATTTATAATGGGATAAAAGGCACCTGTTTTAATGAATTATAGATTTTGTTACTATTACATAAAGGTTGCGTTTACTTACTGCTCCCAGAATAGTTAAACGGGTCTAATTTAGTGTAGTTTGAGATATCTAAAGTGAGACCCTTAGTGATTAATTAACGACTGTAAGTACAATTACTCTATACTTACAAACTTACATGTTTCTGTACAGAATATAGGCAGGTTTTATTTAGTTATAGTGAGTTCCGTATAAATAGAAAGGATGATCGAAGTGGCCGGTATACAAATGTAAATAAGGATGATAAAGAGGCCGTAGTTACTGTAGCGAGCAGCGGCATTCAGACAGCGCACTCGCCACGGCTCGCCGCTCACCACTCATTTCGATTTCACACACGCATCTATTGAAGCCGACGAGTAATACAAAACTTGAAAAAGAAACGACAGTATTCGAGGAATTTGAACATATGGTCTATTGCAGGACTACATTTTAAGTATAGTATTGTTCAATGTAGCAGATCTATAATTTAGTAAGCCTATAGTTTTTGATAACGTCATTTTGTAGGCAACTGTTTTATGTTCAACAAAATTTATTGCTTGTTTTATCAATGTTATATTGCGTCAGTCAGCGCAGTTGTAATTGAGTAGACAACGTAGCCTTTGTTACGCTCGCTGGTAAATTTTCCTAAGTTAAATTGTGAAATATTGCAAAATGTTATATGAACCTGGGCGCGGATTATTGCGGTAACGAGAAATTTCCAACTGACATTGCAAACGGATGCACGTAGAGAGATCTCGATGCACTTAGTACTGGAAACTACCTTTTGTGCAAAAGAACAACGTTTCAGCTATGTCAGCTATGTTTTTCAAAGGAAATTAACTCTTATGTCTTACTAGTTACATCTTAAAGTTTTGTGCTCACCGCTCAACTTGTTTCTTTTATATATAAGACACAAACGACACAAGAATGTGACAGGGCATTAGGATTTTAATCCTTATAACAAAGGAAATAAAGTATATGTTACATTAATGCCAGTAAAGTTTTAGTCCTTTTATATGTGCTCTTAATAAATGGCATTTGTAGACTAAACTGAGGCATGGCAGACAAGACAGAACTCAATGCAATGTAAGTAAAGAATTCTTGTTATTTTTCAATTATCTCTAATGAAATTTATGGCATTGCTAAGATTAATTACTTTGGAAAAGATGGCCGTGTAGCCTGACGATAGTACACTTAGATTTTAAAGAGAAAGTTTTCACTCAGACAACATTTACTTGAAAAGTGTTCAACTAATAGTTCCAAAGAATGCATCTGCCAAAAGACACTAAACATTTGTGTATTAAAAATGTACGTGTGTACTAATAAATGGCAGTAATTTGTAATGTAATATTTTTCCTTCGATGTTCCTTTGTCAGATAAATTTGTTGAGTGTTCTATTTATAAAATTGGAAACATGTTAATTTTACATATCCTACTTTCAAACCATATCCGCATACAGACTAAAATATTAAGTTTATCAATATGGTAACGACGATCCAATGCTCAGTTCCGTTGCGATGTATCGTGCCCTGCGCCGGTCGCGGGATAAATTCCTAATGTGAAAAGAACAATTTTGTATGAGCAAGTTTGGGTGGCGCTCTGCCGCGAAACGTGACTCGCTATATGTTATTGAGGACGATTTAAATTTCTTTGAATTACTCCGCATTGGCTTTAAAAATTCGAACTTTCATCGTGCGATTGCAGCGAACAACTTTAACACTAATAAAATATAACTATTATTCTAATTATACCCAAAATGCAACTATTAGTTATAGTTTATGGTTTAACTGTTAAAACTGAATTTTCTCTAAAACTTTGTATCAAATATATAATATTGAGTCACGTAAAAAATTAAATAACACTATTCCAAAACATAATTTTAATTCCGTCGAAAGCGCGGCAATATGTCGTCGACTGGAGCATGGCGCGGACATCTGTAATTATTTTTCACTATGCGTGTGATTCGTTATATCGCGTAGATTTAGTTATAGAATTGAACAAAAAATCACTAAAACGGTCGATAATATGGTCAAGTGTTAGAAGAGTTATTTAATGTAATTTTTCACTATGC